AAAAAATTAAAAAAAATAAAAAAAAAAAAAAAAAAAAAAAGTTGAGGAACCTGAAATGTACAAAGTGCATACCGGACACATCGTTGTTAACCCGACTTTCTGTTATCGTTTTATATAGTAGTTGTTTTTTTTTTTTTCACCACTTTTACCACATATAATGTATAATGTCAACTTTTTTTTTTTGTTCTATTTTTAATTATTCAATTGCTTCGTTTTGGTAAGGTTTTTTTTTGTTCTTATTTTTGTGTGCTTACTATTTGTTTACATTTCTTCGTAAGTTTTGAAGAATTTTGTTGAAGCAGTTAGTTGAAAAATAAAAGAAAATTTTACAGGTGATGGAAGCCTCAGCATTACGGTTGTTGTTTGTTATACTGTTTACTGCGGTGGTTACCGATCAATTGTTATTTATCGAAAATTTTCCTGGTGTTCAAGAATTTACTTCAAACCAATATCATGGCTACCTGAATGTTACCAAAAATCATGTTATACACTACTGGTTTACCTTCTTTTCTTTTTACAACAATTGTCTTTTTTTAGCAACAATTTTTCTTCTCAATACTTTCTCCCAATTTTCACTTCTTTTCTTGTTCCACTTTTTTTTTTTGCAACAAAACTGCTCTAAACCAAACACGATATCCTAAACTAAAAGTTTTACTGTTGAAATTTTAATTGTATGATACATTTATTCAATATGTATAAGTATTTGATTGTAATAAATAAAACAGTCTTTTTTTTTCTTTTTAATAACAAAAAAATAAACAAAAAAGTAAGACAAATTTAGGTTTGTTGAATCACAAAACGATGTTGCTCGAGATCCAGTAATTTTATGGCTATCTGGCGGTCCGGGATGTTCAAGTCTTTTTGCGTTGTTCACCGAAATTGGTCCTTATTTGGTGACTACAGATGGACAAAATTTAGTGGAAAATCTTTATTCATGGAATAAGATTGCAAATTTATTATTTTTTGAATCACCTGTTGGTGTTGGGTATGTTAAATTTGATTTTTTTTTTCTGAAACTTACTTTTTTACTTTGAACAGAAAAAAAAAGTTTTTAATTTAAAAGTAATAAATCTAACTGCTTATTGGAATAACGTTTTTTTTTTGTTTTATAATTGCATAAAGTACCTATTTTTTTTTTGTCATTGTTGTTTCTTTTTTAATTGTAAAAAAAAAAAAGTTTAGTAAGAAACAGTTTTTAAATAAAAAGCTTACCCAAAAAGAGTTTCTTGAATCAAAAAAATTTGAGCAACCATAAAACTACTTAAAAATTTTATTAGTTTCAAGAAGTTTTTCTCATTTAACTTTTTTGTTAGTTTATTGAATAAAAACATAAAAACTATAAGCATTAAATAATATTTTACCGCTAGTTTCCAATTTTTGTTTTTTTTTTTTACAATTTTTAGGTTTTCTTATGTATCTGATGATGTGGTCAGCAATGATGATACAGCGTGTACAGACAATTATGCGGCACTTATTCAGTTCTTTGAAGAATTTCCACAATTTAAGGTACCATTAAATTGCAGAAAAGAAGAAGAAGAAAAAAAGCAATGATTCAAAGCTGTTTTCCTACTATTTTTTTTTTTCACTGTCACTGTT